TTTAATTTGGATTTTTGCATCTTTAAGTAGTTGAACCGATTTGTTCAACTCTTCCTTCTTTCTTTATTATTCTTGAAATTCATGAAGGGTCCCATCTATTGATTTAAAAGTTGGATAAAGTTTCCAATTCTTAATTCTTATATTTTTGTTAGTGATATAGTTTGCAACAAAATTTTCAATATATCTAAATATATAAAAACATCCATGTTTGGTATCTATATTTTCTTTTCCTCGTGTGTTCGTCTTCTCTCGCTTGACACACGAAGAAACTCCGTATATCACTTGAAGAGTATTTCATATTTCCTTGGCGATTCTACAATGACGAATACCATAATGTTTATTGTCATCTAGAGACCTTAATATAAAGTTTTTTATTTTAAAATATCCATATCTTTCTTTTTCCCTCTCCAGTACAAAAGGAATAAAGTTTATTTACCGCTTCATCATTTACTTGAAGAGTAGGGCAAACCAGACAATTCACTGTTGTTTCTAATAAATTATGATTTAAATTTTGAAGAAAATTTTTAAATCTGGCTGTCTATATATTAAATAAACAATCATAAAAAAGTGGTGGTGTATTTAGAAAATATCTCTTGTTGAAAATCGTCTTTCTCCTGAGACAATTAATCCTTAAACATGAGTTGGACTCTGATGCCACTTGCTAGACTTGAGACTTCACACACAAGAGAGGGTGAATTGTATGGTTTGGAAATACTTGGTTTTGAAAAAATTGAGAAATAAAGTCAGAGTTTAAAAACATTATCAAAACCTTAGCAGCGAAAAAATAAATCGGGTGGTCGATCGACCATTGTAGAGATAGATGTTCGTGCATAATTTATAAATAAAGAAGGGTTTTTTGTTCTTGAACACATGCTAAAATGGGTCCGTAGAGAGGCCAAAAAATTGGGGTTTGACGTTGTAATTGAAAGGTCTGACAATGGTTTAGATAGAAGACAAACATTTGTAACATTGGTATGCGAAAGAAATGCTACGTACCAACCAAAGATTAGGAAGTTGAAATGAGATGACACTGAATCGAGGAAATGTGAGTGTCTGCTTAAATTACGCAGATATCGTATGAGAGACAAGACATGTAAATTTAATGTGATTTTCGGTATACATAATAATGCCTTGGAGAACAAGCTAGTCGACTATCCCATTGCATGTCCAGAACACAACGAATTTGAAACCACTGTTAGAACCAATTAAAATAAAAGGTGCCCATAAAAAGATAAAACCGACTCAAAGTGACAACTCTACAAGACAACCTCTTTCATATTTTGAACACGTTGACTCACATTTTATGGATTCTCTGATTCCAAAAGCCCAAAAAAGTGTTTTCAAGAGTGTTCGCATTAGCAAACCACCCTTTCACCACTGTTATAAAATTTCAAATTCATTGAAGAGATGCCACTTTTTATGCAAAACTACATAAAGCGGATTGTAAATGTTGAAATTGACGACAACTGTGGTTTTCGAGCTGTTTCAAGTTTACTCAGTAAAGGAGAGAAAAACCATAAATTTGTCTGTCGTAATCTTATACAAGAGATTATGATGCATATGAAATCATACACAAAGCTATACGGGAACAAAGCAATTCACGAGATGTAAGATGTGTATTGGTTGACTGTAAAAAAAACAACATTTTGTTCAGGTTTATTTGAGACTGAAATGTCCTATACCAAAGTCATCACTAGAGTGGACGATACATTTCACACAAGATGCTGAACACATGGCCGAATCACTTTCTTGAAATGATGGAAGAGTTCACCAAGTCGAGTGAAATTGAACGAGAAGCAAATAAGCAAAGGTCGAAGAATGAACCACCAATAGATTTAGGTAGTAACATATGTTTTGATGCGTTTTAGTTGTACTCTAACAATGTAACACATATTTTGTAAGCAACACACTGCACAATGTTATAAAATTTGGTGGTATTTTTTGGACTTTTTGTTTTTCAAATTTTGCTCTATATAACTATCATCTCCGGACACACCGTTTTTATTAATTACAAAAATAAGACAGGGGATCACTCAGAGATGTATCTCTAGAGAGATCTATTTTTTCTGAACAAAAGGCGGATCCGAATATATATATATCTTCGAAGTATTTCATGCAGATATGATCATGTTTGTAAGATCTTTATTCAATTTTCTACAACTTCTATAAATAAGGTTTCTCATTCCATTTTCTTTACACAAAACAAAATGAGTACATATCCCCATCTTGCCTTTGTGTATTTCAATGTCGCAAAACGCTTACTTCAATTTCGGCACTGCGAGGACATACTTCTGGTCGATTTAGAAATTAAACTGAATACTCTCATATGATATCTAAAAATCAGAAATTTGTCAAGCTCAAGTACCGTTCATCCTCTATAGACAACGAAGAGACCATATGATTCACCATATTTGAATTGAAGACAAATGATGATTTGAAGGTGACGTGGAATACCTTTTACCATCACTCAATAATGGGTCCGATTGAAGTGGATGCGACAATTCAAAGATCAGCCGAAAATATTATAAAAATGTTGCAACGTCGCAAAACACCTATTTTTAATAACACGTAATGTTAAGTTTATGTAATGTTCATCTATATAATGTTTATTTTGGAGTTAATTTATGTCAGTATTTCATTCTGCCGTTGTTTTTGTCTGTTTTTTGTTTTGATCTAACTAAGCATTTTTTGGAGAAGTATCTTCGAAAATTTCACTAACTAATGAATTAAAAAAGGTTACAGAGATACATCTTCGAATCAACCCTTCGTGCATACTGCGATGCATTTCCAAATCAAAATTTTAACATGATAAAAACTTCTCATTATTTTTATCTTAGTGTTGAAAATGTGCGTCCAAATCTTGAGACATTTTAATATTTTCACGGTGGTGTGGAAGAAGAGAGAGTTAAAAGAGAAAAAAAAATTGGGCATGGAGATATAGCTTCATGGTGTGTTTTGGGCCGTTAGAGATATAAAATGGGCTAACAACTGGTCACCGCACGAAGTCGAAAAGGAAGTTTTACCCCATACCCCTACACTTATACCTATACCCCTACATTAAAAAATTTTGGACCAAAATATCCTCGTATAAAAATTTATTATTTTTTAATTTTTTTAATATTTTTTTATTTGTTTACCGGAAGACTTTTTGGAAGTCTTCCGGTTCACATTTTTTTAGTATGTTTACCGGAAGACTTCCAAGAAGTCTTCCAGTACATATTTTTTTCGTTTGTTTACCGGAAGACTTTTTGGAAGTCTTCCGGTTCATGTTTTTTTTTTAATTTGTAATTAATATTTAAGATTTATTAATTTTATATAAAGACCAATTTAGTAAATTTTTAAATATTATACTTAAAATATAAAAATTCTATAAATAGAGAATCATTTTCAGAATATTTTCTATTTACTATAATTATTAGAATATTAGGATTAAAATCATTTATTTTAAATGATCATAATAGTAGAATTTTTTCAAATATCTTATTAATCTTAAACATTAATAAATAAAATAAATTTAAATATAAGATATAAGTTTACATTATTCAATATATTTAATCAAATGAAAACATATGTGATAAATAAATAATGTATTTTAACTTAAAATGATCACAATAAATTAACTTGCAAAATAATATAAGTAATAAATTAATAATGTATTTTATTTAAAATAATCACAATAATAAAATACGCAAATAATGTGTTTTATTTATAGGACTGATATAGTTTTATTGATTATTTAATTTTGAATACTACTATGAATATAGTATTTAATCTATACTTTAGAACTCACATAATTATAAATATTAAAAATATTGTTTTATTACCCATATTTTTATTTAATTAAAAAAAATAAGAATATAAATTTATTATTTGTTTTTCATTTTTGTTTGATCTTTTTAATTATTTCACTTTATTTAATATTTTTAATAAAATAAATAATATATTTTATTTAAAGTAAGCACATTATAGAATATGCAAAAAATTTATAAATAAAAAAAAGATCAAACGAAAATGAAAAACAAATAATAAATTTATATTCTTATTTTTTTTAATTAAATAAAAATATGGGTAATAAAACAATATTTTTTATATTTATAATTATGTGAGTTCTAAAGTATAGATTAAATAATATATTCATAGTAGTATTTAAAATTAAATAATCAATAAAACTATATCAGTCCTATAAATAAAACACATTATTTGCGTATTCTATTATTGTGATTATTTTAAATAAAATACATTATTAATTTATTACTTATATTATTTTGCAAGTTAACTTATTGTGATCATTTTAAGTTAAAATACATTATTTATTTATCACATATGTTTTCATTTGATTAAATATATTGAATAATGTAAACTTATATCATATATTTAAATTTATTTTATTTATTAATGTTTAAGATTAATAAGATATTTGAGAAAATTTTACTATTATGATCATTTAAAATAAATGATTTTAATCTCATTGTATTCTAATAATTATAGCAAATAGAAAATATTCTGAAAATAATTCTCTATTTATAGAATTTTTATATTTTAAGTATAATATTCAGAAATTCACTAAATTGGACTTTATATAAATTTAATAAATCTTAAATATTAATTACAAATTAAAAAAAAATATGAACCGCAAGACTTCCAAAAAGTCTTCCGGTAAACAAACTAAAAAATATGAACCGGAAGACTTCCAAAAAGTCTTCCGGTAAACATACGAAAAAAATATGAACCGGAAGACTTCCAAAAAGTCTTCCGATAAACAAATAAAAAAATATTAAAAAATTAAAAAATAATAAATTTTTATACGAGGATATTTTGGTCCAAAAATTTTTAATGTAGGGGTATAGGTACAAGTGTAGGGGAATGAGGTAAAACTTCAAGTCTAAAACACCCTCAGTGGAGATCGCGCGGGAAGAAGTTTATTTCCTCTCCCCTTTTTCTTTTTCTGCCGTCTCACTCCATCCATTTCACTTTCTCTGCAAATTTTCACACACACAACAATGGGTATCAAGGTATTCAATTTTTCATCACCCATCCTCTAATCTCCTCTCAAGTTTATCACCGTTAGTAATATATTACATTATTGAAATTAATTTTGTCAATGCCGATTAATTTCTAGGGTTTAACGAAGCTTTTAGCGGACAATGCCCCAGCATCCATGAAGGAGAACAAATTTGAAAGCTACTTTGGGCGTAAGATCGCTGTTGATGCCAGTATGAGCATTTACCAGTTTCTTGTAAGTAGTAAATCTAAAAAACACAGCAAAGTTTCAATTTTTAACTACAATACTGAAAGGGGTTAAGTTTTGATAGGTTATGTTAATGCGTGTTATTGTGTGTAATTGATTTGATGTAGATTGTTGTGGGAAGAACTGGAGCTGAAATGCTGACTAATGAAGCTGGAGAAGTTACTAGGTTAGGACTAGTAGTAATTTAGTTTAATCTCTTAGTGGGTTTTCTATTAGATAAGCTTAATTGAGCTTAGTTGTTTTTGTTTCATTTTGTTGTTAGGGTGATTGTTGTGTTAGTTAATTGATTTTTGAATATTATAGTCATTTGCAAGGAATGTTTTCGCGGACAATCAGACTTCTAGAAGCCGGGATGAAGCCAGTGTAATTTTTCTTTTTTGAAATATTGTCTTGAATATAAAACCCTATGTGAATAAGTTATTTTAGAATCTGCACTGCACCCTTGCTGATTTGTCCAATGCTTTTTTTATTAAGATATGTTTTTGATGGGAAGCCACCGGAGATGAAAAATCAAGAGCTGAAAAAACGGTATTTTTGCATGGATTTCTGTTATTTCTAGAGAATTCTAATTATAGATTCTTATCAAAAGTTACTAAGTGATGTCTTTTCTTCTAAAACTTTGTTATAGTCTCTCTAAGAGAGCTGAGGCTCAAGAAGGTTTGTCGGAAGCCATAGAGGTATACTCAGTTTGTTGGCAACTTCTCTCTGGTTTTTGTACTTAGATTTCTTGTATTAAATCAAGATATTCATCTCTTGGCCGCTCTTTGTTGTCATTGCAGGCTGACAATAAGGAAGACATTGAAAAATTCAGTAAACGAACCGTGAAGGTAGGTCGTTGGTTCTTAGACATGTTTATTTGAGATCCTTTCTTTCTCTCTCCTATATAATAGAATGAAGCAAGGTTTTGATATATACTGTTGATGATATATTTCTATTACTCTTCTAGGTGACAAAGCAACATAATGATGACTGCAAAAAACTATTAAGACTCATGGGAGTGCCCGTTGTTGAGGTGATATTGCAATCTAAAATGAAATAATGTATTGTACTATGTGTTAACCATTTGGCTAAGGCTTCAAATTTTCCAGGCACCGTCAGAAGCAGAGGCTCAGTGTGCTGCTCTTTGCAAAGCTGGAAAGGCAAGTTCACATCTGCCGCGTGTCTCCTTGAAATCTAAAATATGATAAAATTATTACTAAATTCTAATCCTTTTCAAGTAGACTTCATGGAAATGAAAAGAAGATTACATGTTGCTATAGATTCATACATCATTTTATGAAGCCATTTAAATTTCAAATATGTTCTCTCTTAAATATTTTTTTGCATTGATAATTCTAAATTTTGTTATGCCTTCAATCAAATTAATACTAGTTTCTTTGATATAAAGTTTATGTATAATTAATGTTTAACATTTTATATATTATAGGTGTATGCTGTGGCTTCTGAAGATATGGATTCCTTAACGTTTGGAGCTCCTAAATTTCTTCGCCATCTAATGGATCCTAGCTCAAAGAAGGTTCCAGTAATGGAATTTGACATTGCAAAGGTCCTTTTTCGTTAACTGCTTTCAGTATGTACGGGATTCTCACTGTATGATCTACTTATTTCTATATTTCTCATGTTTCAGATTTTGGAGGGGCTAGATCTGACCATGGACCAATTTATTGACTTGTGTATTCTTTCTGGATGTGATTACTGTGACAACATTCGAGGTATTTTGTCTCATTTTTATCCAGATGATGCTAGATTCAAGTTCAATTTTATGATTGTGATATGATCTCTACATCTACACGTGTATAATATAAATAAATTAATAATAATCAATGTCTGCGACAGGTATTGGGGGCCTAACAGCGTTGAAGCTCATACGCCAACACGGCTCTATTGAAAACATACTGGAAAACCTAAGCAAAGAGAGGTTTTTTTCCCCCATTTTGAAATTCACTGTTTTCAAGTGCATGCAATTTAAATTATCAAATGCTTGTGATTTAAGTTATCAAATGCACAATGAAAGCTTGTGGTATATTACTTGTTTCTCTTTGTCATGTTTGCACTGCATCGCCAATCAGATATCTAGCCCGTATATTTGGATCTTTAATGATGTGTTCACTTCTATGACACATTTTTCAACAATTGTTATGTAATGTTTCATAGCATAGTCAATTTTTATTATTATATCAATTACGTTGGTGGAATTCATGAAGATTTTGGCTACTCTTTCCAGTGATTAATATCATCTTTGTTGTCTATTGTTCTCGGAGAAGCTTAGTCAGCATACAATCTCAATTTTATGCTTGCATAAAAACTCAATTTATGCTATCTAAATGCTCTTTCTTTTGAATGCAAGGTTCTTGATATTTAATGTGATGTTGATCTTTCAAGTTTTGTCTTAGGAACTATTTACAGTGTGAGCAATGATTCAGGTACCAGATACCAGATGATTGGCCATATCAGGAGGCTCGACAACTTTTTAAAGAACCCTTGGTCTCAACTGATGATGAAGAACTTAATCTTAAGTGGTCTCCTCCAGATGAAGAAGTAATAACTAAATTCTTTGAGAACTTTAAATATTCTTTCAAATGCACAAGGATCTGCTACTGACATACCTATGTTTGTTCTATCTATATATAATGTCTTTGGCAAAATTACTAAGTTGCATGTTGCCTTTCTTTCAGGGGTTAATAACATTTCTAGTCAATGAGAATGGGTTCAGCAGTGACAGGGTGACAAGGGTATGTAGCTAAATATGTTTATAGAATTGAGTTTCAATGGATTTTTGCTGTTTCTTCAGAAAACATTTTTGTTATGATTTATTTTTCAATGGTAGGCAATAGAGAAAATTAAAGCGGCAAAGAACAAGTCATCACAAGGCCGGTAAGTGATCAACTCATTGGACATTAGTGTTGGGCCTTTTTTTCCTTTTATTGTCATACCTAGCTTTTTGATTTTTTTGTTTCCAGATTGGAATCATTTTTTAAGCCAACTGCAAATCCATCTGTACCTATCAAACGGAAGGTATGTTTCCAGTACATCTATCACATGCACTATTTGTTGATATTCAAAATTGTTGCAGGTCTGGTGAATTTCTCACCAGAACATTTATGGCCAGACTTTGGTTCTGTTGCGATTTAGTTTATTTTTGGGTTCCTATTTGTCTGCCTGAGCTAGATCACAAATTATTGTTTCCTTGCACAGTTTTCATATTGTTTCCTTGCCTAATTTTCATGCTCATATCGACGACTAAAACTCCTCCATTCCATGAAAAGTCGTGTTAACTTCAATTGCGTGAATCAAACTGATTGGTTATACACATTCATATTTTTGATATGGGGTATTTTTTATTGGATTTCTTCCCAACATGCATGACAGGCATTGTTAGCTACTGAAAAATTTAAACAATTGAGCACTCTGATTTGTATGACAAGTGATACCATTATCCTATCATTATTCACAAGCTGGATTTGGAACTGTTCACTTTAGTCCCCTCCCCCCCTTTTGCTCCTTGATTATATTAAATGGTAACCATGGAGTTGATTTTTCTTCCACATCTGAAAAAAAAAAGTTGAGGTACAGGAAACAGGAATTTTTACCAAATTTACTTGAAATATTAGAGCTGATACGCCAGCATAATTTTGCTACACTTAATTACAGGAAAGCAAATGCACGCTTAGGTCTTTCAAACCAGCAATTGATCATAAGATGTCCTCTCTGCGAATTTCTAACTGCTCAAGGCCCATGGTTTTCGGCAAGTTGAGAATGCCGATCTATAATCTGGGTTTCGAGCTTTCTGTGCCATTGTCTAGAGGTGTCTGCTTTGGTGCCTGAAGCTGAATAGCACTGGTGAACCTCCAATGTCAATCCATGCTTATGCATAATCTGTCTTTTAGTAATCGAGATGTATTTTTTCTACTAATTTAGCATGAGAAATTTTAAAAACTACATCAGTCCTTAAAACGCTCAATTGCTCGCGCATTTTCTTTTACTACTAGTATATATATTTTAGCTTTGAAATGTTATTCCTCGCTCCACTTTTACTTCCTTTAGCATAAGCGTATAGGCCTCTGGATCTAGTTAATTACTGTTTTAAGCTTTTAAGAAGTCTAGTTGGTTTTCATTTGCTGAAACAAATTTCATTGATTAGGTGGCATTAAAAAAGGACAGGGCTGAGATCTTTTTGTTAAATCTTTCTATACTTTCTTCTGAGGCTTTGTTGAGGAGATACTAAATCCTCCTTTTCATTTCTAATTCTGTTTTATTAATTTATTTCTCTATACATTATATTCAGATGAATGTTTCTTTTTTGTTAATGTATAATCAATGAATATTGATTACAACTGATACTTCATTAGGCATATACTACTGGATGCTCTAATGTGCTATTAAAATTATGAGGCTTTCAAGGATAAACATATATTGAGAGAAACAAAATTTGCTCAGAAATAAAAGAATAAAGAAGAATGCTATAAAGAAATAAAATGCAATAAACAATGATAACTGAAAAAAGATTAATCAAATAAACCTCAATCTCAAATTCCCTATTCAATCTGTACATAATTCTCTCCTCAATTCCCTGCTGCCATGCCAACAGTCTGTTACATTCCCCTCTAACACTTACTCTTTACTCATGGCAGCCATTCTCTTCCTTGCGTCACCAGCAAATTTCTATATTTTTTGTTCTTTCTTCTCTGGTTACGTAAGGTAAAAGCCCATCACATAGCATATGTAGTGATGATCAATTGACATTCTGCTTGGGTTTGCTACTTTTAAGTATTGATTATGATTTGGGTTGACTAGCTAGCAAAGCTCTCCTAAATAGACGGTGTCCTTTCTTTACACGATGTTGTTGGGGTTGCAATGCACCATTATTTGTAATTGTGCTGTCTTTGTCTACTTTGGGCTTTTGAGATCAGTTATTACCTTATTACTGTTGTATGGAGGGAACAAACTATAATAATGACAAAGAAGCATGAAAACTAATACAAAGAGTTGGCCTAAGACACTCAGATGAAATTAGTCCTATGGTATGATCTAAGGTACTCTAAATTAATATCTAGATATTATAAACTACTTTCTTATAATTTAACAAAGCTATTTATTGGAATGATTAGAATGAATTAGTTTCATTGTAATAGCTTTCACTAAGCTATTTATTGTGTGATGTAACTGATCGAATCAGTTGCACAATAAATTACATTTGTGCTGAGTCAGCACAATTAGTTTCAAGTTTGTTATTTTGTTTTGCTTTGCAAAACAGTTACACTCAGTTACTAATGTTGTTTACTCTAATATCTCCCCTTCAAAGAAACCTGAGGGGATAGGGGCTCGGCAAGTTAGACTCATGTTGATCACCTTTTCCCCTAGGAAAACATATCCAATTCCATATGCTTTGTCTTGGCATGCAACTCTGGATTGTGAGATAGAGCTACAGTGCTCAATTTGTCACAATATAATAGGTGTTTAGAGCAACTGAGTTCTTTTAGGAGTGACTGCAACCAAAGCACATCTGCTTCTTTGTGGACAAGGCTCCTATCTCAGTCTCAGTGCTTGATTTGGCAACTAAAGTTTGTTTCCTTGACCACCAGGTGACTAGGGTTGGTCTTGGGTAGATGCAAAGTGTTGATTTTCTATGTTTGGATCAGCTCTTCAGTCTGCAACAGAGACTATAGTGATAGATAGAGGCTTGAACAAAAGAGCGGGATTAAGTAGAAGGCCATGCTATTGCTGCCCAATGACTTTCTAGTGATGGTTGCATACTGCAGAGCACCAACAATGGACCTGTAGTAGGTCTGATACGGAGATGGTTAGACCCAAGCTTCGATAACTTTAGGAAAGCAACCATGGGAGCCAGCATCCCTTTGGCTTCACTAATGTTGGCATTGTTGACCCTTGATGTATTTGGTCTGTGGAAGGAATAGGCTGCCATTTGAGAGATGGGTAACTTCAATCCCCAATGAATAGGCAAGGTTTCCTAACTGCTTGAGGGAGAACTGAGCATTTAGATTGGCAATGAGATGCTGAATACGAGGGTCAGAAACAAATCCAGAGCTATGAAGGGCTGCATTGAGTCTCCTAAACCAAGCCCTTGGTGTTTGTTAGAGGCCTTAAATGGCTTTATTGAGCATTGACAAAGCAAAGGTGGCTATTTCATGCACAAGTTACTATAACTACCCATTTGCACCCAATAGAACTCTTGTTTGCAGGATGTAAGCCTCCATGTGTTGTTCTTTATAAGTTCATTGTGGAGGATGAATGACTTTGATACCATCTTGAGGTTATAGGGTTTTAGATTAAGAGGGGAGAGAAAATTTAAGAACTTTGATTTGAATAATTATAATGGTTTGATGTTATGATTGATGATTCAATGCAATGCAAACACATTAAACACCACTATTTATATTATTAATACAATACTCAAATCCTACCATGAGAAATAAGTTATGATAGTAACAAGATAAATATGAAAAGTAATATCCCAACTTAGTCTAAGATACTTCTAAAAAAGAAACTACTCCTATAAGGTAATCTAAGAATATCAATATTATCATGTCTTCTAACAAGAACCTTAATGAAGGAACAGCCTTTTCAAAATATCTGCTAATAGTTTAACTAAGCCAAAAAAAGATACTGCTTTTATGTTAAAAGATAATGAAAAGAAATAAATTGCGCATTGTGTTGGTTTTCTAGATCCATGGTTTGACACATTCTTCTCTTATACAGGAAACACCAGTGAATGATGCTAAAGGGGCTAACAAGAAAACTAAGGCTAGTGATGCTAAAGGGGATAACAAGAAAACTAAAGCCAGTGGGGGTAGGAAGAAAAAATAGTTGTTTCTGTATCTTAAACTGGCAGAGTTATTTACATGTTAATCAGGTCAGTGTTCTGGATGTTTGTTTCTCACCAACTAATTCATGCGACAGTTCCCTTTGCAATTTACTAACATCTATGATTCTCATGTTTTTTTGTTGTTGTTGTTGTTGTTGTTTGCAGTTGGAATGAAAGAGGATCTATTCGCATTAGTGATGCAAATTCTTCCAAGTTGTAAAATATTTATGTGAAATAGATTTGGGGAATTTGAGTAATTTTGTTAGAAAATTCTAGTCTTAATAGTTTGAGATACAGCGCTTCATTTGGTAGAGATTTCTTAGTTCTCCCATTTTTGGGTTAATTTGACTTGCATTTTCCCCCTTATGCACTGCTTCACTATTTCACAATCTTGTGTCTGATTTTTTGCACTCTCAAATGTAGTTGCAAGACTACTTGGAAATATGGGTTGAAAATTAATTTTTGAGGTGGGGTCATGGAAAAAATATAGGAGAGAAAAAAACATATTTTTAACAAAACAGAACAATGAAGATTGTATAGATAGTGTTGCTTAAGTTCTCCACCCTGTAATTTCAAGGAATAGCAACCCATTGACAAGAGTTCCTTTCTACTCTACAAGTGAAAACGAAATACAAACCAATGATGTAAAATGGACAAACTACAAGGCAAGAAATATTAGCATAAATTTTAATACACTCCTATATGAAAATAGCCTAGACAATTTTATATTGGTTAGAATGACATGAACTTTCGTAGAGATTATTTCACTTTTTTTTAGTAGTAAGACAAAATGCACAACTATGCCTAGCTAGCTACAGCGCCAGAGAATTGAATTCATATACTTATCGTAATACATAAAATAATCATTATAAAGCCTAGAGTAAATGATAATCCAAAAAATAACTGATCTAACAAAGCATTTGCTTTTTTTTCTAAAATATAATGGAAGACACTCAAATGATTAACTTGACCAGCTGCCCCTTCACCCAATTTAACAACCCATCTGTAACACTCATGAACTTTTTCTCTTAATTATTTAATCCTAGTTTTTCTATAATATTTTTATATTCAAACCAGACCGTACTCCATTCAATTTATTTCCTAGTTAATCATTCAAATGTTTGTCACAAAAAAATCTTTGCAAAAAAGGAAAGTTACTATCTACTATTTACTTTTTAGGTTTATTGAATAATTAATATATTTAATCAGTTTTTAGACTATATATATTAATCATTCAACAAACCTAAAAAAATAAATGATTTCTTATAGAAAGGAAAAAAGATAATATTATATAGCTGAAGCAAGGAATCATTATTTTACACTTAAGACATATATTTTGAAAAGTCATAAAAAAGTTGGAAGTTCAAAGACAAATCTTTTGAAATATAGAGTTCAAACCTCAATTTTGATATATATTTTTAATGTCCCTAAAATCGGTGTTTTAAAGTAATCAAATCATTAATAAATATTCTTTAATGATTTGTCAAGGTAACCTAGTAAAAATCAAAATAATATAACTCTTAAACATTCTTTAATGTATTTTATTTTGTTTCATTCACATCATTTAGTCCGTCTTAATTTAAGAGTCAGGCTAATGAGTGCTTTAGGGACACTCTTTAAACACTTCAAATAAAAAAAAGTGCATTAAATACAAGTCTTTTATAAAAAATATATCTTTTATTCTTTAAAAAAATCCATTGTTTTAATTTTCAATGCATTTAATACAAATATTTTTAAACAAATATACATTTTTAAACTCTTAACAGAGGCACTCGTTACCATTTCCCTTGACTTAATTTGAATTGTAAAATTTGAACATACATTTCTTGCGCGTTTGAAATGTACAATCTAAACAAGTGACAAATCCCCCATAATGTAAAGGAAATTTTTTATTGCATCCCATGCATTTCTTTTCTACCGTGTAGTTTTCCACACATGCTATTAGATTCCGGAGATATATCTATAGACGTGCTCTATAGCCGACTAAACGTTAATAATTTTTCGGAGATATATCTCCGAAACAATTTAAACCTTAAATGGTCACATCATATCTTTCATAGCCCATTTTCATTTGAATATTTTCGGAGATGCATCTACGAGAAATTTCTAAAAATACATCTCCGAAGTGTATCAAAAAAGGTTTTGTTTTTAAAAACACACTATGTATTCGTTCGCAGATGAATTATAAAATAACAGACATACCAAAATAACATAACAATATAGTAATAAGATGTCATACGTCACAAAAATCCAAAATGTAGTAACAATGTCAGGAAAAACGTACAAACTATAGTACTGAAACAAAATAAATACAGACAACTATTGGGTGTGCCTGACAACCTCTCCTTTACCTGGCCTGCCTCCTCGGCCATCAATCCCTACTATCCTTGCGCGATGTCTGCATTACAAAGGTGCCCCTTGTGCCTCCGCAATAATGTTACCAATAATCGCCCGACAACAGACCCCTCCGGAAAGATACTCTAGTCAATACCTGGCCGCGCCATCTCCAGTATGCGATGACAACGAGATAAGACATCCTCAGTATGATCCAGTTGAGCCTGCTGCTCCTCAAGAATCTCAAGCAGCAGTCGACACCATGTACAAATGTGAGACAGTGAAGAACTACCTAATGTATCCGACAATGTAGCTCTAGTCATTCGGCGCTATGGTAGCCTGAGCCTCGTCCAATACCAGATGACTCTGATAATTAACAAACATCTCGTCAATCTGTATACGAGTCATGACAGGAGGAGCAAAGACAACAGGGTGTCTGGGGATAGTTGACGTGTACCCGAACTACCGCATGACGCACTCGGGCAGATGAGGAGCAGTGATACTTGATCCGCAAGCCATCCATTCGGAGTATAACAACATGTCCTCAAATAGTCGCGCCTGACGGTGATCTAGGTAGCAGTTGAAGTGGATGTCCTCGACAGCCAAACAGTCAAGATAGACTCTAAAAGGCTCGACCGCCTGGTTCCCCCTCGGCGGGATAAAAGCACAGGCACAAGGCGTCTCCTCGGTGTACTCATCCCAACACGCCCAAACAACGATGTGCGGAAAGTGTTGGAGGATCCAAGCCTAAAAGGAAAATAAAAAACATTCAGGGATCAAGAATTATCGCAAATATGAAATGAAAAAAATAAATAAACATTCAAGGATAAAAAATTATTACCACCAGTAGTGTCGTGTTGTCTGTGGTCTGCTTCATCATCCACCGACATCCATCTCTCAGCTTTGAATACAGATATGCAAGGCAAGTCGTCCCCCATTTGTACTCATGGTTCCGTGTGAGATCCAAGAAATACCAGAGGTATGCAACGTTAGTGTAGGTGGCACTCGTGTCCACAAAAATCACAGTGTCAACTAAAAATAGAAAATATGCCATCAAAGCATGAGTCCTATGTATGGCCACCTCCTCGGCATCACTATCAGCCTGCTCTGCAGCAACGAGCGCCTCATCAAATCTCTCTTTCAATAACGAAAACCTAACATGAGTACCCTTGATCCTACCCACATTCTTAAGCGCCTTCCCTAAATCAGCCCCCAAATGCTCCACCATCATATCGATCGTCTCGTCTTTGGTCATCCTACCATGATGGAGGAATCTCCTCCTGATCGATATGTGCAACAAAGACGAGACATCGTCTAGTGTAATCGATATCTCACCATGCGGGAGATGAAAGGAAGATGTCTCAGAGTGTCATCGCTCCACGAATGTATTAAGCATTCTGTGGTTGACCAGACTGTAATCACTCAAGCATATGTCACTCAACCCAGGAGCGGTCAGAACCGTCTGAAACCACTGCTCATCCGGCTGATGCAATGTTAAAATCTTCCGCCCATGGTTCAGAAACTTCTGGGGATCACGCACTTGGGAATTTCCAAAAATAATCAACGTCTATAAGAATCAATGTTAGAAATAATCAATGTCAGCAATTTAAATTAACATAAAAATATATAGTAACAAGGTTACTATTGTTACCTTTCCATCCCAGATATGTTTGGCAGTGTGGTCTGGGTACACAGGAATTAGGGACATATCAGATGGACCCCCTCCGAAAGCCTCTGGCTCGACATCAGCAACATCACCCTTCGGAGGTGGCACAGAAGCATCCCGATGCCTGCATGAGGATGTGGGAAGTGATGTGTCATCTGGTGCATCCCGTGGCCTACGGGAAAAAGAAGTAGAAGGTGGTGTGGGCTGAGATGTAGATGGAGTGGCCTGAGGTGAATGTCGATCCCTAGGAGTGGGATGAGATGTAGATGGAGTTACCCGAGGCGAAGGCCGAGCCCCAGGAGTAGATTGAATCTCAAGAGTAGATTGTGCCCCAGTAGTCAACGCCTTTCCCTGACCAGAGGTACCTGCTGACTCCGCTCCCACCCAACGGATGCATGCTGGACAACCCGTCCATGCCTCAATTGGTCGGCTCTGTCAGCAATTATGCTTGCAAGGTATAATTAACCGTACAATAAGTTTACGCAAATGAATAACACAAACAAGAAAATTATAAAACAAAAAGAAAAAAAGACTGAGAAAATTCCGGAGATACATATCCGGAAAAATTTAACATTTCATGTACTCTAGGTGATTCCGGAGATATAACTACGAAAACATTATGTAGATGTATCTTCAGAATCACCCAGAGTACATGAAACCTTGAATTTTTTTCGAAGATGTATCTCCCAATTTTTTTGAATGACAATGGTGTCCTCCGCCCCTCAGAATGAAAAATTTAAAGTTCTGATCGTCCATTTGAGTCAACAAACAATATATACACTTACTTTAAACTATGTTTCAGCTGATTTAAAAACATTTATACACCTAACAATTCATTCTAACTCGTTTACAAGAATACTCAAATATTTATTGGAAACTTGAAAAGCTTACCCAAATTATATGATTTGGAAGATTTTGAGTAATATACTGGATGTTGCTTTATGATTACTTGAGCCTCGGATTGATGAAATCGAATTTGGTGAAGTTGGAGATATTTGGGAA